CCCACCCCACTCATCTCTATCGCATTCTCATTTTATTGAGATTGCGCTTCTAGGCCACCACACTCTCCTGTTCTCCCTCCAGCTTCACTGGCTTTTCCTTCTCAGTTTTCTTCTGCTCAGCTTCAAAATGTTAGTTTCCTAGGGCTTAGTCCTTGCCCTTCTTCTATTTCCACATTATCTGTCCAGTGATGTCATCCAGTCCCAGGGCTTAAATACTATGTAAATGTCAATGAGTCTTAAATTTATATCCAGAGCTCCAGACTCATTTATCCAACAGCCTACTTGACATCTCCACTTGGATGTCTAATAGCCATGTGAAGCTAATGTAGCTAGAATACATGTCTTGAATTCTCTTCTAGCCAATCCATTTCTCTCCCAGTGTTTGTTCCCCATCCTGCTTATTCAGGATAAAAACATAGGAAACATCCTTCCTCCCTTTCCCCTTTCTCACTAATTCCCATCCTCCATCTAATTCACCAGCAAGTCCTGTGAGCTCTGCATCAAAAATATATCCTGAGTCCATCCTCTCCTCTCCATCTTTGTTGCTATCATCCTGGTCCAAACCATCATCTCTCATCTGGAATAGTGCAATAGCTCCCTAGCTGGTCCCTTGCTTCTGCCTTTGCCCATCACAAACTAGTATTCACCAATATCTGGTAATATTTTGAAAATCTGAATCATATTATGCTCTTTCCTGCTTCAAATATTTAAGTGATTTTCCATCGTACTTGGAATAAATCTGAACTCCATGTTAGGGAGAAGCCCTCCAACTTGTACTTCTCAATGTTCAAACAGTGTTCCTGCCAGGTTAGACTTCTTAATGTCCTAGAACAACTGAAATTATTATCTTAGCACCCCTGCACTTTTGATTCCCTCTTACTGGAATCCTTTGTGCCCCCCTGACTCTCATCTTCACCTGGTGCCTCCCTCTTGTCATTCAGCCACCCACTCTTATTTCATCAATATATTTCATTGTCTTTCTAACTCATCACTCTCTGAAATGGTCTTATATTTGTTTACTGTTTATTGTCTACCCCCGCCTCCCACATACACTATAAAGCAAAGATCTCATTTGTTTTGTTCCCCCTGTAACCTACCTCAGCACTTGGCATATAGTAGATGCTCAATATTTATTGCTTAGTGAACTTACCCTGGGGCCCACGCCCACTTGAAACTCTTGATTCTCTCCTCTGCCCTCTACCTGCCTTTCCTCTCTATCTGCCTGCTCTCTCTGATCTCTGATCTCTGCGGTCTGATCTGTGCACAATGCTCTCAGCTGAGTCTCTGCTCACATCCACGCCCTTCCAGACAATCACCCTTCATCTCCTGTGCTATTACTATCATTAGCCTGGCACTCCCGCCTCCTGGATGGAAGCTTACTGTTCTGACCAGTATCTACAGCAGCTGTCCTCCTGCTTGTCAGTTCCTGACAGCCCTTCATTCTGAGGTCAGAACAGCAGTGAGTGAACTGTCTTCCTAGTGTCTCCCAGTGGCAGGGAAAAGACAGTGCACATTGGATATAAACCAGGCCATGTGAGGCAGGGTGCATAAATCACGCCATACCCTGGGCCCCGAAGAGCCCCAGTGCATCCTGAGGATGTTCTGTAAGAGGACTCATTATGTGCTGGGTGTGGGTCAGATTTATCAAGTGATTTTTCATGTCCAGTGTAAGTGCCTTTTACACTGAGGACTTTGGGACATTATCAATTATTTCTAGTATTCTTGATTCATTCATTCATTTCAACAACTCTTTTTTGAACACCTACTACAGGCTGGAGGTACAGTAGAAAGCAAGAACAAAGCCACCACTGTCTTCCTGGAACTTAGACTCTAGTGAGGGAAACAATGAAATACAGAGTGATAAATGTGTCTTCAGATAATTTGAGGACCTTTTCACATTCCACAGTCTATAAATTCTCTTCCTATGTCTAGCTTTGCTGGTCTCTTTATCATTATCCCTGGGCTTGTTGATGGATCCCGATATGTGTCAGGGTAAATTTCTGTCTGTTTCCCATCCTACAATGTCCAATGTCCTTCTGAACTCTTCTCATTCTCAGCTGATGACCTTGCTTCCTTCTTTTCTGAGAATATAGAAGCAGACAGAAGAGAATTTCTCTACTTCCTCTACCACATTCCAGCCCTACCTCTCCTGGGGAGAATCCCAGGTCTTTTCAGCCACCAAAGTCTCCACTGCAGTGACTCTCCCTCCCTCTCCTGCAGTGTCACTCCTCCTCTCTACTTGATTATTCCCAAGGGCATGTAAGCACACTGTAATTTCTGGCAGCTTAAAACAAACCCTTTAGCTCCACGACCCCCACCAGCATCTGCCCTTCTGTTTCCCTTTACAAAGCAAAGCGTCGCAGTAGGTTGTCTCCATTCACCATCTCTTCCACTTCTCCCATTCTCTTTCTCTTTTATTAACTTAAACATTTAATTTTTGTAATTCATTATTTTGAATGGGTAATACATTTACATGTGCAAAAAAAGTTTTCAATATGAAAAAAGGCATATAATGAAAGTTCTTAATCTAAACCGCCCCCCCCGTCTGCCATCTTTCTAATTTCCATCTCTGCCTTCAGTGTGACTAATTTCTAAGTATTCTTCCAGAATTTCTTTATGCCTATATAATAGTAATATACATTCTTTACATAAGAGTTGGCATACCATGTACACTGTTCTATATATATTTTTTGACTTAATGATGTATCTTTGTTATCTTCCCATATCAATGAAGAGGGAACTTTGTCATTCTTTCACACATCTTCATAGTATTCTGACTTATGGATGTGCTCCCAATCTCTCTTGAACACACCCCTTCGGGCTCCTGCGCAAACTACCACACTGAAATTCCTCCCGTCAAGGCTACCTCTGACCACCATGCTTCAGAATTCAAAGGTCAATTGTCAGTGTCATTTTACTTGCCGATCAGCAGCCTTTGATACAGGTGATCACGTCTCCTTCTAGAAACACCCTCTTATTTGACTTATGATACTACACTGTCCTAATTTTTGTCCTCCCACACTGGTTCTCCTTCTCCTTTACCGGTTCTTCATCTCTCTGACTGCCATATCTTGGCTCTCTTCTCTGTGGTCACACCCCAGGGGTTCTCATTCAGTCTCTGGGCTTTAAATATCGTTTTTTACTAAAGACTCCTAAACTTTTATCTCCAGCCTGGCTCCTTCCCTTCCCTCACACTTGCAAACCTGCCCCTCCCTTAGTACTTCCTCTTTTAAGAAATGGCATCGCCATTATTCTAGTTAATCAGGATAAAAACCCTGGAGTCATCCTTTTTTTAAAATGTCTGTATAGCTGGTTAGTATTTTCTTTTATCTCACTTTATTATCTTTAACTATACATAAACAAATATAATATGTATTTATATTATAGATAAATATAATTGTATGTATACATAATTTGATGCACAAGATACTAATATATATGTTAGTTCTAAAGTAGGAAAGTAAAATGAATATCTGTGAACCTACCACCCAACTCAAGAATTAGAAAGTTGCCAATAACTTGCATCCCCCATCCTCTCATTGCCCCGCCTTCTCCTTATAATCACTACCTCCCCAATATTATTTTATTATTCCATTGTTTTTTAAAATATTGTCTGCTTTTGAAGATATATGTGTAATAATAATATTTGTCATATATGTAGGAGTGGTATTGCTGCATCATAGGGCATCTTCCATTTTATTAGGTAATGCTAAGCACTTTTCCAAAGTGGTTTAACCACTTGTACTCTAATTAATTGTATATATTTCTGTTGCTCCATATTCTTGTCAACACCTAATATTTTCGTACTTTAATTTTAGCTATTCTAGTGCATACAATGATATTTTATTATGGA